ACACACACACACACACACACACACACACACACACACACACACACATATATTTATAAAATACTTAATTACACACATTTGAGTAGATGTAATAAATGACTTTAATTCCTGTTTAAATGCAATTCATCCTGCCATACCTGCAGTGTCTTCAGACTTTGGCAGCAAATTAAAAGTTGAAGCTCAATCATTAAATGATTATCTTTGTGTTAGCTTTATTAATAAATCACATTTAAACTCTGCTTGTTCCAATGAAATAAAATACAAAGTAAGACACGTTCTCCATCACGTCATGAATCAGAGAACAAGCAGCAGCTTCAGCTCCAGAGAGACTGACGTTACGTTTTCTCTCTTGAAACAGAACAAATGTAGAATATTGTAGAGACTCACCTGCAACACATGAAGAGTTGGATCAGCTGTTCAGCTCCTTCCTCCTCCTCGTGACTCAGACATGTTTACGTTCATCTCCGTGGTTCTCCCGTGTCGTGTCGTCACTTTTCAAAGCTGCTTGTTGCTCAGTTTTTATCTTTGTGAAGAGCTCACACACTTTGGAGGACTTGGGTCGAACAGTTTTCGCTGCGTTGGTCATTTGTAAAATTTACTTAAATTTCCTTTGAAAACAGACTCTGCTCTGTTCAACTCGCGCTGCAGTTTTTTTTTTTTCAAACTTTATTCAGTCAGTCAGCATTGACAATGAACTGCCCGTGAACAAAACAAAACGACTCCGCAGCGCCTGAAAGACGCATAATCGCGCGACACAACGAATCAATAACAAAATTCGTTGCCAACACTTTTAATCATCGATTTTTATCCATTTTATCGATTCGTTGTTACAGCCCTAGTTAGAAGCTCTGATGCAGCTGCAGATCAAAGGAAACTGTTATTTCTCACATTCAACTAAAACTTAGAGACAAGTTGTTCAACAAACTTTATGTAATTTGTCTTTTTAACAGGTTGAACACATGAGACACATCTGGAGCCACTTCTAAATGAGACAGTTTATAAATTACAGTCCAGAAGAGGTTTGCACAGGTTTTTAAATGTTATTAAAGATTTACTAAACATGAATCAATATGGTTAAGACTGAAGTCTGTATATTTCATGTTAGGTTAAGTTTTGAAAATATAACAAAAGTTAGAGCAATATGGTTCAAATAACTGTGAGGTCTGTGTTTCATGTTGACTTAAAGGTTAATGTACTATGTCTGGTAGGATCAAGTCTGTTTACTTTTATATTTATATATTTTGAATTATTTGTCTGTGATGGACTGGAGACCTGTCCAGGTGTCCCCCACCTCTCACACAGTGATGGCTGATATGGGCACCAGTGATACCAGTGACACCAGTGACTCGAAAAGGAAGAAGTGGATAAAGATGATGGATGGATGAATTATTTGTTCCTAGATTTGTTTTTTAATCTGAGAAAAATCCAGACAGCTAATCTAATACTGGTCATTTAAGTTACAGAATTTTATGCACTCCTATATTTTTTCCTTTCTTTTTTGGTATGAATATAAAATGAATCAAAAATATTTAATACAGTAAATAATCTAAAATTACTGTTTTAAATAAATGTTCTATTTGTTTACATTGTTGTTTAATCTTTTCAGCCTGTCAGTTACATAAACATTATTATTGAAACTAAATTTATGACCATTTCAATAGAAAAATTGTTTCTGAATTGAAAAATCGATTTTGAATTGAATCGTGACACCAAAAATCGGAATCGAATCACCAGACACAGAGATTCGCACCCCTAACATTTAGGGTTTTATATTCATGAATGCCATGCTGTGGATAATATTTTATAAGGTTTTAATGACACCGGTTTGATGGGATTTCCTTTGAGCTGACCTGCAAAGCTACAGTCGCTGAGGCTCTGGCACACAAAGGGACAATCTGGGCGTCGGCTGACACCTCCAGTTAGAAAACCTCTGCCTTTGCTGGCCCAACGGGGCAAGTGGATTATTATTTGCCATCTTGGCTTATCGAAGCTTACTGGATTATAATTTTCTGGTTCAGCTCATCGGAGCAAAGGAATTACAACATGATTGGACTGTTTGCCCCTTGGACATCAACCAACAATCAACAGGAACCCCTTTCCAGTAACAAGCGGACTTTTAACTATTGACTTAGTGAAGTAACCCAATAATCAGTGTAAGGATTTCTGCTGTTCCCCTGCAAATCATTAATTAAACGCAAAGCATGAAAAATTAAAGTTTTGGATCATTTTTGTCACCGTCTCATGTTCATGAATTTTGGATGCCAGGTTCAACTTAACAAGTAAAGGAGGTTTTCAAAGGTTACTCAGCTTTGAATATTTAAACAATACTCTTGAACCCTGTTCCTGGATTCTAAAAATAACCAGATCGGTGAGAACTGCAATTCTACTATGAGGAGCGATGAGAGCGTCTCATCACGAAGACCTGTGAGAATCAGCAGTCTTTGTGCGTGTTTAAGGCAAACTAAAGTCTATGAAACACGATCTGATGGTTCATTCTTGTACAACAAGAGCTGCACATTCTACCAGGAGCTGTGTACAGTTTCTGATATTAAATTGTGGACACCCATGGTTTTTACACCAGTGTGTCTTATTTATGTAAAAAATTGTGTTTTAATTTCAATTTAGTATGCGCGGCTTACAGTCAGGTGTGTTCTATAGACTGGCAATTACGGTAGTTGTAATGTGACAAAATGTGGAGAAGTTCTAGGGATATAAAGATTCTTTCAAAGCATTATATCATGCTGTAATAACTGTATTCAAGAGGTCCAAGCTCTATTATTGCTGTTTTTTCCTTTGCTGTAACAACACATGATCGGCAGTTATATAAATCACATTGTTGAAAGCATAATTTAGATACTTTGAAGTGGGACTTTGAGGAAAGGATAATGAGCAAATAATGTGTTAGACAGCTGATCTGATGTGCAATTGGTGTATCTCAGCACAACAAACTGAGATTTATTATTTTAAACCTTAAACTTTAAATATGCAAGCTGCTGTTGTGCTGCTGGTACCGTGTTCTTACATTGGCTTGCTTGGCGCGTCGGATGGATCGCTGCAGAAGGGCTCCTGCAAGGTGGCCTCAGACATGTCCAAGTCCATCAGAGTACTTAGGATCTCCTCCTGACTTGGAGGAGACATGAGAGGCTTGAGAATGCGGGCTCCACCTCCTCCTGCTCCCCGCTGTAGCTGACTCGCCCTCGCATGCGACAGCGAAGAGATAGAGTGAGGAGAGCTACTGGGTGTTGTGGATGTCAGCCCATCAATGCTCTCTGGAAGCTCGCTGGTCGGTGAGCACACATGATCGACAAATGACGCAGGGCTTAAAGGCAATTGTATCACAGGGTCAAAAGCTGACAACAGAAATGCTTTCCTCTCACTGTGGAAGTCCTGAAAGGGGCTGGGGAAATGGGGTTTACTGTAAGAGAGGTCCCACTTTCGGCTCTTGATTTTTTCAGAGTCAGACAGTGCATGGTTTGAAGCAGACTCTCTGTTCTCAGATCCGTCAAAAAGTTCAGGGCTGGTAAACCTGGCTTTAAGATCAGAGTCTCTCTGGCAGGAAATCTGATGACCTGTTTGGTTCTGAGAAAGATCCTCTGAGGCCTGTGCTTCCTGACCGATATCACTGAGAAACTTAAGCGGTACATTTTTATCAGTCACAACAAATTGACTGCCACTGTATGGACTGGAGAACTCCGTCTGATGCACAGTGTTTATGTCAAAGGTATAGCTGTATGGGAGCTCTGGTGACAAGCTGTTCTCAAAGTTGCAGCTGTCCAACCCATGGTCAGACAGAAAAAGGGGACAGTCATCAGACAAGTTGCCATCCTGCTTCACTGAAAGATTTGGCTGAGTACTGCTAGTTCTGTTTTTATGGGTTCTGGGTTTTTTGTCCTTGGCAGCAAAACACTTTGGGGTCCTGGGTTTTGGAGGGTCAGTGAAGTTTTTTTTAATAGATTTAGTCTGTTTAGCTGACAAGCTTAGTAGTGTTGCACCCTGGCTGACTGATCCAACCACTTGAATGGGAAGGGCCTGTCCTTGCCGTCTCTTCTGAAGGAGCTGTTTGAGGACAGTCAGGCCAGAGGATGTTTCAGAGAGCAAGGCCACCTTCCCATTCTTAAGACCTGAGCATGGAGATATGCCTCCTAGCTGGGCATGTTTGCAGTGTTCTTGTGCGGGTTGACCAGCATCCGGAGGTTGATGAACAGTGCAGTCACCCTGAGAAGATTCTACCTTTACCAAAGCAGTCTGGCAACCTTGTTGCTTCATAGCAGCTAATGCTAAAAAGCTTTGGTTAACATCCATGATGGAAGTTTCACAGTCCTCAATATTTGATTCTAACTGCATTACTGTCTGAGACCAGCCCTGTGTGCTGCTGCCTATGTTTACTGGCTGCGGAAATGGAGAGACTCCTTCAGAGGATGGAGGTGACCGGTCTTCAGAAAATAAGAGCTGAGAGGTGCCTTTAATTAGGTTATCACATGCAGCTTTCTTTTTCCAAGACTTCCTGGGCTTTGGAGCAGTTGAAGGACTTTCAGGCACATCTTTAGCTTTCTTCCTCCATCTCTCAGATGTGGCACTACTTTTTGATTTCTTTATTGTGTGCTTTTCTGCTCCTGAAAGCTTAGCAGCAGACTTGCTTACTTTTCTTTTGTCTGTGGACTTTTTAGGTTTGGAAGTTTGAGCCTTACTTTGGACTCTTTTGGTCAGATGCTTTGTGTGTGGCTTGTGGTAAGCCGAACTAAGACAGGGGTTGTCACTCAGTGGGTTTGTCAGCTGCTCTGAACAGCTGCTGTTCATTAAGGGGTCACTTGGGGACCAACAACGTGGAGGTGTCGATTCTGTGGGTCTTGGGGAACAATCAGAAAGATAGCCCAGTTCTATCATGACATCTGTGTACTCATTGTCATGGTCATCTGCAAGTTCACAGTAGCATGGACGAGGAGGGGGTAGGGAAGGCAGGAACAGACCTCTCTGGCAGCTTTTAGTTCTCTTGATCTTCGCACGACATCTGGAACGAGGTTTGGGGGAGTTGTTGATCACATTCTTATTTGTGCTGTTGACTTTTGACTTTTTTAGGGGGTGTTTCTTGGCTTTGGGCTCATGAATAGGTAATTTGACAATGGCGGACTCTGGCATCTTGGGCCAAAAATCTTTAAGAGGCGCTAATCTATCATACTTCTCTAATTTGTTTGGTGTCAACAACACCTGCTGCTCCTCTGCATCCACTTTGGACATCTTCACCAACATGTTTTTTTGTCCTTTGAACCTGTTGACAATGATGTATTTGATAATGATGGGAGGCTCCTTCTTGCATCTTCTCTGGTATTTTAAATGTTGCCCGGCGGGAGCAAGGTTGTCCTCGAGTCTTCTAACAGAGCTTGGGTTTTTAAAATGACTGGGTTGTTTTTTTTCCTCTTTACCAAACTTCCTCTTTCGTTTGGCCCTCAGGGTATATTTGCTAACAGGCAGTTCTGATGGTTTGGAGCAGTTCATGTTAGCAGATAAATTATGTACAAGGCTCAGCTTATCCTCAGCTGAGTCTTTAGCCTCTTCAGAAAGAGACTGAACACTGGCAGTATTGGGGATGACAAACTCTGCAACCGATTCTGCCTGGCCAATACCAGTTTTCTTCTCTAATTCCTCTTTTATAATTGTTTTCATGTCACTGTTTGGCTCTTCTCCAATTGGCTCTGTCTTTTTTATGGGTTGATCCTTTAAAACTGGTGTTGCTGAGGTCACTTTTAGTAGAAAAGAAGGTGTCATGGAGTCCAAGTTAGTGTCAGCTGGATCGTCAGATGTAGAGCTTTGAACAGTTTTTGCTTTGGTCCTTTGTCCTGCTATTCCTAGCCGGTTTTTTTGAACTTTAAGCTTTGATGTACAAGATGGGGACAGGTCTAGATCACTGCAAGGCTCAACCAGCCTTTTATTCCCAGTTTTCTTTTTGTTAAGGCAGTTGGAGAGAATGACACTGGGGAAAAACTTGTAGTGTGCCTCCTGCTGAGCCACAACAGTCCTCTCTGTTTTATTCTCCTGATAGTCTTCATATCTAATTTTAAGTTCACCGACATCTCCTTCCTCACTTTCCTGGGACAGTTCTTCCACTCGTGGATCAAGAAAGCCATCCTCTGTTGTGAGTGGTGACACCGAAGTGACGTTCCTTCTGATAGGGCTTTTCCTATTCTCTGTGTTTAATTGCACCTCTGCCTCAGCTGAGCAGCTTTTTCGGCTTGAGTAACAAAGGGAAAAGGTGCTCTGGTTCTGAAAAATGGAGAGACAGTTTGTTTCTACATTCTTTATGCTATCATACAGCTTCCTGTTCTTGGTGACCTTTCTGTTGGCAAACTGGAAAACTTGGAGCTCGGTCTTATCCAAGGAAAGAGAGGTTTTGTTATCATAGGTGTACAGGGGTTGCATGTCCTCTTTATCCATGCAGATGGGAGACGCCTCAGGGTGACTGGCTATTTTGCAAGGAATTGGGTATTTGACAGGTAAAATGTAAGGGATTTCTTTATTAACATTAAACCCTGCTGAACATTCACTGCTGTGGTCTTGGCTGCCTTTTGACTGAAAGTGCTCCTCACGAGGTTCATCTGAGTCCAACATATGAACCGGTCTGTGCTCAAGATGCTTGTACTCTAGAAGAGTCTTAGCCGAAGAAGGTGGCTCCAAGTGGACTCCCTCCCCTGTGAAGGGATTTGTCTTTCCCAACAACTGTTCTGTAATTGTGAGCGAGGACTGGGACATGGAGCCGGTGTCAGTTAAGGAGGAATCTATAAATGCAAAAGACCAATAAGAGACACCTTGTTAAAATTTCAATGAGGAGAGAAATCAACATTATCTACCAAGCAACATCTAGGCATCAAGCTTTATAAGGATGGTCTAACAAAAGACTTAAAAAACATTAAGAACACAGTCATTTTAAAAGAAGACATTTTGCACAGTATCTTTCATACTGAGTTTTAAACTAAGATCATCTGATGCTCTATATGTGGTACGCAGATAGCCCCATCGCAGAGGAATTTGAAAAGTGAATGTTTGTAGTTTTCAAGATGAGTGTTTTCTGGAATGGAATTAAACAGAAAATGCAAGCAAACCTTAATGCCTCTGGGGCAATATAGTTAAATGGGTAGGAATTATATTGTGTACAAGAAGAGAAGTAGATTTTTTTGGCTTCTCCGAGGCAGCGCCAAGTGACATTCCTTGCGAAAGAAGGGACAAAATTTAGCCACAACCAGGAGCAATGTAGGAACAAGGGCATAGATCTTTGGCCACCCCACAGACCACCACAATCATTTTAGAAAACTATATTTTTAAGCAATATAAAAACTAAAAAGCATACCATAATTGCCGGTGTAAAAGCCGCTACTTTTTTCTTACACTTTGTACCCCACGATTTATATACAGGAGCATCTTATTTATGTATTTTGTTCATAATTTTCAAAAATTTATATTTTTATATCTTATTTTGAAGGACTTCCTGCCGTCTCTCGGTAGCTTCCTGCCACTGACTAACATTTTCCTTTGACAGAGTTGGGCGCTCGTGGTTCCCAGCGCCCCGCCCCTCATGGGGGCAGGTGCTTGTGACACAGAGAGAATGCCCTCAGATGTACAAGGTCGTTTGCTCAGGGTTTCAAATACCCAACCATAACTCCACCCACTCCGTCATCGTGTGACCAAAAGTCTAACCTGAAAGACCAACGAGGTACCCTCGAGGACCATCCCACAAGATAGACGTGAAGTAATTTCTTCAGATCGTTCCCGTGTTGTTACCGGACTTTGTGCTTCATGTACAGACCTGTTCATTTGTTCAGGGAAAATGGAAAATATATGGAGAATTTCTTATTTCAATTTCAATTCAGTTTATTTATATAGCGCCAAATCACAACAAAGTTGTCTTAGGGACTTTACAGGAACATTCACATACATAAAAGCCAAGTAGTAAAGTTCTCTATCTAAGGAATATGATGTAGCTTTCATGTTAAAAGCGATTGATCAGCTGTCGAGGAGGAAACAACTTGCAGCCCGTAAGCTGCATCATGTCCAGGGTCAGGGATTGGAGACACAAAAACAGTCAAGTGTGGTACATGTTTTAATGAAAGACAATGGGGAGGGAGGGGCTGTTCCTTCTCATACGATCAGGGCTGAGGAGAATCACGTCCAAGTTATTTAGAAAGTACATTTAAAAATGTGGGAGAGTGGTGGCGCAGAGGTTAGAAGATGGGCTTGTGATTGGAAAGCCGCAGGTTCACCTCCTGGTATCGTCAACATCAAAATGAGGTGGAAAAGGTGGAACACCCACACCTGCCTCCACCCTCATTCGCCCCACTCTGGGCCCCTGAGTAAGGCCCTTAACCCCCACCATCTGCTCCCTAAACAGGTCTCTCTTGAAAATGAGTTCTCGTGGCTCAATAGCTATGTTTACATGCGCAGAATTCTTTGACCGGATTGAAATGTGTTCTGTTTGAATAATTCAAATGTATTGTTTACATGGGTACAATCTGTTCATGACGAGCGTTTACCTGCAGCTTTGTTCTGAACAGCAGTACTGACATGCGCAGAGTGGTAAACTCTCCTTAAAAAAAACACCGAAGAAGAAGTTCTACTTCTGGGGTGAACGTAAACAAACCTGAGCCCCCAAAATGGACCCGCGACAGGTTTTAATGATGTTGGAGACGTTACTGCACTCCCTGACTGAGCTACAGGTAATAAAAATCATTTTGAGCTCTTTAAAAGTTTCTAGTAGAAATGTTGTCGCTCACCGACCAGTTTTACTTCCCTGACATGCTAATATTATTAGCGTTAGCCAGGCGGAAATGGCAAAGTCGCACATGCGCAGTCAGGTCAGTTTTTCACGATCAGATAAAAACGAACAGATCAAGCGTTTACATGCGCACCGATCGGGTTACGGATCGGCGTAAACCACCCGTTTTGTTCTGATCACAAATTATATCGGATCGCACCGAATACACAAAAAATAACCCGAACGGAGTGTTTACATGACACACTTTTATTCCGACCGGCCATTTGATCCGGTTACTTATGTCCATGTAAACATACCCAGTGAGACTACCTGTATGAATAAAGGGTAAATGAAAAAAAAATTAAAAAAAGCAGTTGTTAACAAAAGTGTTTACCAATCAAAATCTATGGTACTAATTTAATGAATATTTACCCTATTTTACCAGTACTATTTGAATTCCGGTCACATGACCTTGATAAAACTTCTTGGTAATATTTACCGGTAATTTTTTTTAAAATAATTTCATTTACGTAGGTGTTTGGCACTGTTCTGTCCAGTGATTATGCTTCGAGAGTCATTATGTTCATTTTGAAGGTATAATGGTTGTAACCATGAGTCAGACAGCGAAGCTTCATGACGAGCTTGCAGTCTGAACGTGTGTTGAAAGCAAGCTAGATTCTGTGAAACACCATGCTGGTTCTTGTACTACAACAAGAAAGCTGCACACAGCTGGAGCAGTCTGGGAACACAGATTCTGATGATGAACGGTGGATGCCCACAGCTAAATAACAGGAGCGTCTTATTCATGTACAAAATTATGATTTATCTTATATTTTAAAAGTGCGGCTCAGAGACAGGTGCGTTCTAAAGCCCGACAATTACGGTAGTTTTCTCAAATGACTAAGATTAACAGTTTACATATTTAGATCGTGGTGGCCATCTTGGATTTTGACGTGGCAACCCAGTTTTTCAGCAACCAACCTTTCTTAAGGCCCCACATACTCGGGCGTACTGCAATCTGCAGAGGTCTGCGCGTACTCGAGGCAGACTTAAAGCGGATTCGAAGTGGATGTCTGCCAGCCATGTCCGTGCAAAAATTATTTTTTTTTATGATCGCGTACGCATACTAGATGTCGCACAATAACTGTCTGGAGAGAAACGGTGTTTACATCAAACTGTTTTGCATGCGACACCAACCTCAGCATGGATGCGCAGTGCGAATGCCACTCTCTGTTCAGCACTGACAGGTATGCAGTGACTACCGAGGTGGTAAAGAACCCAACTAGCTCATCAAACTTTTTGGACTCCATTTGAAAATATTCTAAATGTTTCTCGCTGTCCATCGTCTTCCAAGTCGAAGTTGAACCCGGAGGCTCCACCTCTATTTAATGATGGATGGTTTCTTTTCACAAAGATGGCCTCCTTTACCCCTCTCTCAAACCATCGTTCCTCTCTATCCAGGATGTGAACATCTTCATCCCTGAAAAAGGGGCATCCTGGACAGAGAGGAACGATGGTTTGAGAGAGGAGTAAAGGAGGCCATCTTTGTGAAAAGAAATCGTCCATCATTAAACAGGGGTGGAGCCTCCGGGTTCAACTGTCCCCCTCTTACAATGCTGTGATTGCTAGTATCACTCAGCCCTCTGTGAATAGTAAACAGCCATCAGGTGCTAATGATCCATTGTTAGGCTGATGGTCCTTCTTGAGCATGTGATCAGCTGGTTCTGGTTGTCAGCAGCAAAACTGGTTGATCCACTCTGAGAAGGTGCTATTTAAGAGACTGAGCTGAATACAGCACCTCAGAATGAGGAAGTCTCTTGGATGAGAGAAGAAACGTTTCTACTTTTTTTGTTGTTTGTTTAGTTTAGTTTGTTTTGTTTATTGAATGTCCAGAGGACCAGACTTAACTTTTTTTTACTTCTGGGTAAAATTTGCATGTTCTCTCCATGCATATGTGGGTTTTCTCCAGGTACTCTGGTTTCCTCCCACACACCAAAAACATGCATATTTGACCAATGGCCTTAAGTACCACTTTCTTTTCTTTTGTTTTTGTTTAATGTTAAGAGGCAAGAGATCTCTTCCTCCTCATCCATTGACGCCATGACTGAAATTGTGAGAAATAAAGGAATTTATCACAAGAGATTAGGTAATCTGTACGCTTGAATATGAAGTTTCAATCGTCAGCGGACAGTATGAGCCAAGTCCGCGCAGCTCCCTGAGTACGCACAGTACGCCCGAGTATGTGGGGGCTTTTAGGACTTGATTTAGCTACACACCAAAACGGAAGTAAGTAGTTCACTCATTTTTTTTATTTTTACGTTATCCAGCTCACAATATGGAGACATATTCCACACACTGAAGCATCTTAGCCAGATGTTTCAGTGTGTGGAATATGTCTAGACAGACATATGGAGGGTGTTTCAAATTCCCATCTTCACTCAGTGACGGGGGAAAATTAGGGCAGCAAAAAGAAATGAAGTATGTATCTGCAGATGTAAGACGGGGATTAAAGGCAGATTGACATGCCAGTGCTGTCTCAGGTTGACTGAGGACAAGGTGACTCACCACTACTCTCGTCCGCTGCGCCATCAAGCTGAGGGATGGAGAGGTTGGCAAACAGAGGATTGTTCCCTCTCCACTCCATGTCTTCATCAGAGGACTGATGCTCATCACTGAAGGTGTCCTCTGCCTCCTTCAGCCCAGACCTGTGCTCAGATGAGATTTAAAAGTAATCATTTTTAAGATGAATGGATGCAACTCATTGTGCATGTGCTCACTTCAAACAGATCAGATAAACAGATTGGATGAAGGGCAAAACGTTTCAACACAAAGAAACCGTACAGAAATACTGCTCCACAAAATAGTTTTACCAAATGAGGGAGTTGATGCATTTAGGTTTTAGTTGGTTGAGTTGCAGCCGTTTCAGTCAAACAATACTGTAACAGGGCATTTCTGACATAACATTTCTGTTGGTTAACACAGAAATAAACTTGCCTCTGAGCTGAGCTGTCAGGAGGCTCCTTGTCCCACTGCTGTGACATGATCATACTGAGCTCTGCCTCCTCCTTGTCCAGCTCTGGTCCTGCTTCCTCATCATCACTGTTACACTGGTAGCTTCTGGCACCGGGATATGACTGGGACTTGGAGTCCTGCCTGACAGGTGTCCTGTGAAAACCATCGTCTTCCAAGCCTGCCAGCAAATCAGTGATGGTGTGGTCCTGACTGGTGTCTGTAAACAAAAACAATAATGTTCAAACAACATCAATCAACTACTAAACACAATTTTAATCATGCTGCTTTTATTTATTTTTTCTTAGGACTGAATTAACTTAAGGCAGCACGGTGGTGCAGTTGCTAGAGCTGCCACCTTTCAGCAAGCAGGTTGCCTGATCAAATCTCGGCCGGGGGACCTGGGTATAATTTGTATGTTCTCTCCGTGCATGTGTGGGTTTCTTCCGGGTACTCCGGTTTCCTCCCACAGACCAAAAACATACATGTTAGACTAACTGGTAATGGAATTGTCCCTAGGTGAGAGTGAGACAGTGAATGGTTGTTTTTCTCGTTTGTCTCAATGTGTCCCTGTGATGGACTGAGACTTATCCAGGGTGTCCCCCGCCTCTCACACAGTGATGGCTGGAAATGGGCACCACTAACCCCCATGACTCAAAAAGGAAGAAGCAGGTAAAAAAAGAGGATGGATGGATGACTGGATAGATGGATGGATAGACTGGATGGATGGATGGATTGAGGGACTGTCTCAAATGGTGAGTTACAAAGGTTAAACTAGAACCTGTGTTCGTCCTTCAGAATATTCAACAGGATGTCGTTTCAGTATGAACTGTCCAAAAAGGGAGATACAACAGCTTCGTTAGCTATGTGCTACTCTGACTGCCACGTACGAGTTTATTTAGTTTGTATTTTTTAATCTCAAATGTCACTTACATAAATATGACCGATCAAAAAGTGTCACAAAAAAAACCCACACAAATGGTGATAAATAATCATCCTTTAAAATGCCTGCGTGATTACGTATTTCCACCCTGGGGGCAATAGAATGTTTGCCCATAGACTCATTAAAAGTTGTACATGCGCAGTACCTCCCCTTCCAATTCAAGACGTAAGAAGATTCTGGGCGCACCATTCCTGCACCCAGAGTACAGGCGCACGGTACGGATCGAGCTTTTGGTCCCAGAACAGATTTTTTTTTTGTTGTCCCGGAAAAGATAGTGCAGTGACTTCCTTCAGACTAATTCGAAATTGAGGTTTCACAAAGATTTCCATCCCTTTAAGATTATAACAGCTCTCTCTTAACAAAATTTAATTGGATATTTAATGGTAATGTATTATTATGAGCACTATACATAACTGATAAAATATTGTAATCTACCAAATTATGGAACTTCAATAACTTCAGTTGATAAAATAATGTACTTGATGGGTGGCTGAAATGCTTCCTGGTAATAATTTTTACAGCTCTTTTCTGTAAAACAAAAATAGGAATTACAGTTGTTTTGCACGCTTTCGCCCAAACATCAATACAATAGATTAAGTGTGGAACTATGATGGCGTTATACAACATATACAGAGTATTCAATAAGGCCCTTACTTTGTACAGTACTGCAATAGACTTGGCTATTTTTATTCTTATAGAATTCACTCACTCACTCACTCACTCACTCACTCACTCACTCTCACACTCTCTCTCTCACACTCTCTCTCTCTCTCTCTCTCTCTCTCTCTCTCTCTCTCTCTCTCTCTCTCTCTCCCTCCCTCCCTCCCTCCCTCCCTCCCTCCCTCCCTCCCCTGTCTCAGGAGGACGCTGAAGACGTTTACATATTTGGATTTATGATAGCAGGTATTCTGCTTTTTGGCATAGGCAGAGCTCTGTTTTATCGAGTATTGAAGAAGACTTCGGCAGCAATTTTGGCAATGACAAAGCTTCAGAGTCAGTGTGAAGGTTTGGTTCATGCTGCGAATACTCAAAATCAGCTGATTAATGAGCTAAACCGAAAGGTGGAGGCGATTTATGAGAATCACAGGCCAACTGCGGCTTCTGGGACTCGTCAGCGTGGTGGGAACGAACTTGAAGGAGACTCATTACATGGATCAGTGGAATGGATTCTCACAATTAGGTCATTTTGGAACCAGAAAGAACAGATAGACTAAAGGCTGAAGAAAAAAAGCTGTCTGCTTGTAGAAAATTAACAATCAAAGCTTGTTTGAATCTGACATCTATCGCATACATGCTTTGGGGTTCCAAGTGCATATTAGTCCATTTTTGGGGGAATAGGCTGTTCTGAAATGACAACCTAGGCATTAGGAGACAAGATTCTCCAACTCAGCTCATTGGAGCCTGGAGAGCCTCGCCTTAGTGTACACCCCAGGACCCTGAACGTCTCACTTGACCAATAAGACACTCCCTGGAACCAGGCATGAACTCTGTCATTAATCAATTGGTCTTAAACGTACACCTTGACCAATTGTTAGCATGATTAACTTGGTCACTTACAATGTTTCCAAATATCTGGCGTCTGTACTCATCCCTTTAGTTGGCAGCTCAGAACACCACATACAGGACACCATGGACTTTGTGGATAAGGTGAGGGATATCATCATGAAGATTGATGAAACAATGGCCTCTTTTGAAATCACATCAATCTTTACGTGCATTCCTGTTGATGATGCAGTAGAGGTGGTCAGTTTAAGATTAAAATCAGACACCACTCTGAGCAGCAGGACAACACTTTCCACAGAACAACTGTGTCAACTCTTGAAACTGTGCCTTCAGTCAACCTACTTCACATATGGGGAGCAATATTATAGGCAGAAACATGGGTGTGCTATGGGGTCTCCAGCTTCTCCTATTGTTGCCAACCTGTACATGGAGGAGGTAGAAAAGAGAGCCTTGACATCCTTTTCAGGGACACCACCAAGTCATTGGTTCAGGTATGTTGACGACACCTGGGTTAAAATTAAATCTCAGGATGTCCAACATTTTACTGACCACATCAACTCTGTGGATAAATACATCAAGTTCACACAAGGAAATGTAAAAAATGGCAGGTTGGCTTTCTTGGACTGTGAGGTCTCAGTCTCGGATAGAGGACATTTGCAAACCGAGGTGTACCACAAACCCACACACACAGACCAGTATTTGCAGTTTGACTCCCATCACCATTTGGAGCATAAGTTAGGAGTCATCAGGACTCTGTATCACAGAGCAGACAGCATCCCCACTAACTCGGGAGCCAGGGAGAAGGAGAAATCCTACACAAGACAGGCTCTAGAGCAATGTGGATATCCTAACTGGGCCTTCCTGAAAGCAGAGAAGAAACCCAAACAGGACTCCAGTCAGCCATCAGGTGAAAAGGAGGAACCCAGACCCAGACCAGTGGTGACTCCGTATGTTGAGGGAGTATCAGAGAAACTGGGACTTTTATTTTCTAAACATAATGTCCCAGTGGCTTTTAAACTCCAAAATACATTACGGCAAAGACTGGTTCATCCCAAAGATCCAGTCCTCTGGCACAAACAGAGTAATATCGTGTATGCTGTTCAGTGTCAGGAGGGATGTGATCAGTCTTACATGAGGGAAACTAAACAGCCACTGGCCAAAAGGATGGCCCAGCACAGAAGATCAACATCATCAGGCCAAGAATCTGCGGTCTACACTCATCTCCAGGCCAGAGGTCACTCTTTCAGGGATGAAGATGTTCACATCCTGGACAGAGAGGAACAATGGTTTGAGAGAGGAGTAAAGGAGGCCATCTTTGTGAAAAGAAATCATCCATCATTAAACAGGGGTGGAGGCCTCCAGGTTCAACTGTCCCCCTCTTATAATGCTGTTATTGCTAGTATCACTCAACCCCCTGTGAATAGTAAACAGCCATCAGTGTGCTAATGATCCATTGTTAGGCTGATGGTACTTCTTGACCGTGTGAGCAGCTGGTTTTGGTTGTCAGCAGCAAACTGGTTGATCCACTCTGAGAAGGTGCTATTTAAGAGACTGAGCTGAATACAGCACCTCAGAATGAGGAAGTTTTTCGTATGAGAGACGAAACGTTTCTACATTTTTTTTCTTTTTTTTTTTTTTTTTTTCTTTTTGAATGTCCAGAGGACGAGATTGATTTTTTTTGGAGCATGTTTAAATGTTTTTGGTACCACGCCAGTGGATAAACTACTGTTTACTATAGACAGAATGGACGGGCCTAGAGTAGGAAAAGCCACCTTTAGTAGTCGAGGGGGGACCACATCAAAGGGGGAACCAGAAGGTTTCAAGCTGTACATGACCTGCTCTAGAGAAGATAGAGTGATGGGTTCAAAATGGTCAAATGGAGCTACAGATTGAGGTGGGACGGATGGGTCATGAGTTGGAGGGGAAATGAGAGCCCTGGTGGTCGCAATTTTTTCCAAAAAAGAAACGTAAGAAGTTGTTGCACAGCTCAGTCGAGGCTTCCAGAGGTGATGGTTCAGTGAGGTGGAGAACAGAGTTTAGGGTAGAGAAGAGGACACGTGGGTTGTGAGAGTTTGAAGTTATGATATCAGAGAAGTATTTGGATTTAGCAGCTTTCACTGCTTTCTGATAATGGCGCCAACTCTTTAAATATTTGAAAAGAGACCAGCAGCCTGTCTTTCCTCCATTTGCGCTCCACTCTCCTACATTGCTGCCTAACGGCCTTGGTGACGTCACTCAGCCACGGTTCTGCTCTGAGTTTTGATTTTCTAGTTTTAACAGAAGTGACATGATCCAGAGTCTTTAAGCAGACAGAGTTGAACTGGGATGTCAGCTCCTCAGTGGTGGTGAGAAACACCGGGGGCTGAATTATCATTTCAGAGTAATAAACATCTGTAAAACGTGCGGCAGTGAAATGGTTAATGGCCCGGCTACTACGTGCAGGAATGCACGGCTTAGGAGTTAGATGGGGGAGGGTGAACTCGAACTGGACTGGCATGTGGTCTGAAAAAACATTATCACCAATTTCAAGATTACTAACAGTCACATCACGTGTTAAAACAAGGTCCAATGTATGTCCACGCTCTTGGGTGGGACCGTTTACATGCTGAGTTAGATAAAATGAGTATAATAAATCTAAAAAGTCCTTAACCAAGGGCTTCTCCTGACAGCACACATGCAAATTAAAGTCCCCAATAATGAAAACACGATTATATTTTGGTGTGATTTCAGCCAAGAAATCAGAAAACTCATTTATGAAATCCTTAGATCGAGGTGG